AACAATCTCCCCTCTTTCCACGGGATGCCGGTTCCAAATTGGATCCAGAAACCGCCGGTTCTGGTCTCGAAAAGGCAGGATGTGGGCTACAGCCTGTGAAGGCAAAAATCAAAGATTCAGCAAAAAGTCACCAGATTTCTACAGTATCTCCACCTCACTGCTTCTTCCAGCACTGGGACGTGTCCAGCTCTGGAGTGCCAGCAGACATGCTGCACAGCAGAGAGCAAAGAAGGTGAGAAGAGAGAAAACCAGCAAGAGAGCCTGTGGTGAAGCACCATGGAGTCTCCAATGCTCATGCAAAGCAGACATTAAAGGTCTTGCTGAGGCATTTTGAGGTTTCATGTGAAAAAGGCTGAAATGCAAACCGCAAGGCACTCGGTTTATGTCCATCAAAGGACAAAGGGCTGAGTCAGACTGTGCTGGGACTAATGTACAGTTCCAAAGCGCTGAAATACATCACATCAGATGCTTACACCACTAAAGACATCTGCTCTTGCTGGGAAAAAAAAAGAAAAAAACAGCAATCCCCCCCTCTTAGCAGAGATGCTCTCCTTGTAGCTGGACATGCAACTTTCTGAGCAAAACCTGGCCATGGTGCCACGGCTGGAACAGGCTGCTTTCAAAACGTGGTGTCACATTCATCCGAAACAAGGGTGGCACGTCCTTGAACGCGTTCCCTCTGGGACACTGCAGATGCACGTCCTAAGCTGTCTCTGCAACAGCCAGTCCTCCATGCCCTGAACGGAGACCATGGCAGGCGGAAACCTTCTCCTAAGCATCCTACAAAACTAGCATCCCATTAGCTCCATATCATATGAAAATTAAAAGCTGCTTCTAGAAGACAGTGCTAACAGAGAGGCCTGTGCAGAATGAGATGGGAGGACTTTAAGAGGGAAAGGGGTTGCTTACTCAGCGAAATCAAAGACCTGACCTTGGCGAAAAGATCAGATGAATTCTGCATCTCTCCCTCGTGCACGCCCACAGCTCACCCCTACACCCTGGCTTCCCCCTGGAGAGGGGACCTTAGTCATGCTAACAGGAGAAGGTCCTGCCTCGGTCTACACATTTCCTCCCCTCTGTAAGAGGATGGAAAGCAGCATGCTGCAGGGCAAGAACGATAGCCTGTCACCACAAGGTCATGCAGCCTCAGCTGGGACTAATGGTCCGGATACAGACTACAGCAAATGGAGGCTTGGGAGCACACTCGGAGCGGCTCTGCCTGGATTCAGGACGTGATGCAGACACTCTTGGAGGCCAGAGGAGGCTGAAGGCTACAAACAGCATGAGCAAATGGTAAGGGAGTACAGAATACTGCTTAAAGAGGAATTCACTTCAAATCCTACAGCCAGGCAGGAACCATGCTTGGGTGCAGGCTGGGGAAACTTGGGCACGGAGCACCTCCATTTCCAAACCAGTGTGATTTAACCTGATTCCCATCTCTGGGCCAAGTTTATTCACTGTTTTAAGCAAACTCTCTCCTGACTGCCAGCACCTTCACATAGGAGAAAAGTCAGCTGAGTGGCTGTGGCTAACATATCTGGGGGTCCAACTCTCTCATTAGATGCAAAGCCGATGTCCAGCACTCTTCCAGCCACTGAGTCCCTCAGCCTGGCAGGGGGCTGCGCGCTGCAAGATGCTCACCTGTTTGCCAAGGTAGTGGTCCACCCGGTACATCTCCTCTTCCTTGAAGAAGCTTGTCAGCTCTGCAGCCAGCTGCTGGGCTGACTCCAGATCATGGCCAAAAGGCTTCTCCAGCACCACACGCAGCCAGGCTCCCGGAGGGGGCCTGCAGCTGCTGTTAATGTGGCGGGCAATCTCTGTGTAGGCAAATGGTGGTACTGAGAAGTAGAAAATTCTTCCGGCCTCCTTCAGCCCCTCCTGGCGAAGGAGCATCTCAATCTCTCTGTTGAGCATAGTGTAGTTTTCAGCAGTCTTCAGCTGGTGGTATTGGCTCAGCTTCAGGAACTGGTCCTTGAGCACAGCACACCTGTTGGGAGACTCATCTGGGGGGCAGGCCAGCTTCTTCAGCACGTTGAACATCAGCCTCTGCCCTGGCTCCAGAGCCGTCAGGGCAGCCCCATGGAAAGTGAAGCTGTGGCCACTGCTCACTTGGTCCAGGTAGAGCTGGAATAGACCCTGCCACAAGTACTTCTTGGCTAAATCCCCTGTGGCTCCCAGCAAGACCACAGAGACGTGGCCCTGAGATACCTCAGCCAGTGATGGCAAGGCTCCCACGAGCAACACTGTACACAGGACTATCCTCAGCATCTTGGGACAGAGGAGGTGGACCCAGGAACGCTAGAGGAGAAAATTAAAAACAAAAATCTGTCAATCCATGTTATAACACCACAAAACATGAAACAAGCTACCCGCTCTCTCCTCCCTACTATGATTTGAACAGTGGCAGTAATTGAGGCTCTTGAAAAGACTGCAGCCTCCTTGTGCAAACCAAAGAGTGGAAGACAGCCATGTGTCTCTAAGGCCTTTCAGTAGCATGAGCATTTTTCCCATGGCTGGGTTAATGAGGGGGAGTCAGTGCCTTTAGCCTGCGAAACTGAAATCTGTTTTAATGCAAATTTCAGAGCTGGCTACAAATGAACACATGTGCCTCCAAATTCAGGCCACTGCTTTCAATAACCTCCTGTTTGGGACTTTGCTCTATGCTATCTTGGCGTTGCTTCATGTCAATATTGTCACAACAGCTCAGAGACAAGCACTGGCAGTTCCAGTTCGCAGGCTCTTCTTCTTTAATACGCTGTACGTTAATGACTTCTGTGCACCTCCATTCTCATGAACAGAGCTGAACTGGCTACTGGGAGCCAAACAGTCTCATAAAACAACACAGGGGAAGAGGACATTTAGTCTTCAGAATCAAGTCTAGACATGAGCCGGCCTTGATGCTGTCTCATGACGGTGGTGTATGTGGCTAGGAGACAATGCCGAGTTTGTGTTCTACCTCCTGCAGCTTTCCATCACTGAAGTATGGATGTCGGCACCCGATCTGGCCTTTGCTATTCAGGATCCATTCAGATCGCTGCAGCCAGTAGCAGCTGGTCTCCCTGACCAAAAAGCCCCTCTACTTGTTCTTTTCTGTTCTTGTTTCTCTAATCCAAAAGAAACTTGTTTTTAAGAGAAATGACACACTTAGTATCCAGAAACACAGCAATGACTTTAGACCTCAAGAGAGAGAATCCAGAACAAGAAGTTAATAAGTCGCTGCTTACTGTTCTCAATACAACAAGCATTACTTCAGAAGCTCTTACATCAGCTGTCTCATTCTCTTCATTTTGTTTTCCAGACTTACATACAGTTAGCTGGAGCGTGGCTATCACAGCACATTTGAGAGAATTAACATCTTTAAAACCACTTGGTTCTGTGATAGATTTAGCCCTTTTAACATTACCTGCGTAGGAAAATATTCCCATAGAGCATGGATGCAGGTAGTAAAGATGTTTTACCAGTCAGTTTTTGACAGCAAGAGGAAAAGGCTATGTCAGTATATGGCTTCTTTATCCTGGTGCAACTGTAGTCTCACTATGCTTTGCACTGGAACGATTACGCCATTGTAAAGTGGCAGTTTCACCACAGTTTGATTGAGAAATGGATCCTGGGTAAGAGAATGAACGTGAGCATCTAAGTATCCTTCTATGGGGGGGGATATGGGAGAGAGAAGAGAGAAAGGTGTCTCCTCAGCCTCATAATTCACAGTTAGGTAGAAAAAGTATCACTGGCTCCATTGCTCCACAGTTACAGCTGCACATATGCCCTAGGAACAAAAGCCATCAGCTTCCTTCTGCCCAGACCGACTTGGGAGTATTTTTCCCAGCCTGCAGCAAAATACCTGGTCCTTGCTCTTCTTGAATGGCAGGGGGGATGAACCAGAGACGCTGTCCTAGCTCTCACTGGTTCTCCCCCGGAAAGCTCCTAGAAAAGTCACCACTCCATTACTAAATCAACACAGGACAAGAATAACTAAACCAACACAAGCAACTTCTGAAAATCTCTCCCTGCCCTCAGCTTGAACTGGTCTAATCAAATCTCGTGTTTCTCTCTCCAGCAGACTCACCTGAGTAATACAGGAGCTTTGCAGATATTGCAGTGGCAAAACTTGTCCTCTTCTCAGCCCCTCCTGAGCACAGTCCTCTCTTCTCCTGCGACAAATAGACCATCCAGCAAACTCTCTGATCAATGGTCAGGCAAACAAGAGGCTGCAAGAAAGATAAGGCAGCTTGTCCCCTTTCTGGTAAATGGGAGGAAACGCCAGAGCTGAACTTCCCATTTCCAGCAGAGAAAAAATGAGCATTCCTGTGCGAGCCACGGCCCAGCGTGTCCCGGCTCTCAGCTCACTCACGCTCCCCGCATGAAGCCTTTTGGCTGCCGTTTGTGAGCAGGGTGGGCGAGAGCAGGGAAGAGTAGTTGTTTTTCACTCTTGAAAGGAAGAAGAGACATTAAAATCTTTGCTTCCAGGAAATGCAAAACGCAGGCACGTGCAGCAACTGCCTCTCCCAAAGCATCTTCCTGACAAATTCCTCTGCTTTGCTCAAGCACCCCAGGTCCATGCTGCAGGTCTGCAATGGAGACCGTGGTTTGGTTTGCTTTTCCTTCCCCCACTATGGGAATATAATGCAGATGACAAAGTTACACTGTGCAATAAAATAATATTTACATTTGCTTAAGCAACCTTTCTTCCAGGAACTCGGAGGGGTTCGATGCACCGCCCGCGGCACCTCGGGAGCCTGCAGTTACTGCCACGCTGCACAGAGACCTCAGCTGAGGAGCAGGTAGGGAAAGGGAAGGAGATGGGCAGGTCATTTTTTTCCATTTACCCAAGGAAGGGAATGAATTAGCCAAGTAATTTCCTGGCTGCTTCAGCTACACAGCCATACGTATTTACAAGCAAGCTGAAAACCAGTTTCACAACACTCCCAATTGCAAAATACTGTGCTACGCCGCCCAGAATAAGCACACTCAACCCAGGGCTGTTTGTTTACTGCTTTCATATCAGATAATCAGCAGTATGCACATTAAAAAATAATAGCCTTTAAAAATCCTCCAGCTAGACAGAGCAAAATTACTCAACCAGGCTTCTGGGAAAAGACTCCTGGGACTGAGCTATACCAAACACGTGAGAGCTTAACCCGACGGTAAATGTACGTCAGGGCAGTCTGCCGCACAGTGCTGGAGCTGCAGTATGACAAGAGCTCACTTCGGATGTTGTTAGTTCCCCGGCTCTATGGAAAAACGGAGAGTGATGATGCAGGGGTTTTTTGTTAGCTTTGAAACCCTGCTGAAAACCGATTAACAGACACACAGCCAAACGCAGGGCGGCCTGCAGCTCCTGCGAGGCCGTGCAGACGTTAACACATGAAGGAAGCAGTTATCGGGAGACCGAGATTCGGGAAGGACCGTTATGCAGGCGGTGCCTTCTCACCACGGGCACCAAAACTGCAGCACTGACATCTCCGAAGCGTATGTACCTCGCTATTGCAGCCAGGCCGCGCCGGCGGAGCCCCAGCTCACTCATCATCCACCTTCCCGGGGCTGACTCTCCGCTGGTGGCTTCCTTGGGAATTCCTGAGCACTGACGAGCCAGAGAGGAGCTGACAAACGTCCCAGACTGTGGACAGAGGTAAACAGCATCAGCTGAAGATGAGCAAACATGAGATAAATTTACACATGTAAAGGTGTAAGAGGTAGCAAGAGATTGTGCTAAAACATACAGAGGAGGATGTTGGGAAAACGTTTTTGATCACAGTGGGAAACTCGGGGAAAAGTGTTTTGCCTGAGAGGAAGACGGGTTTGGCATTGGTTTGCAATGGACATGCACAACGCAGAGCTCTGGATAAATAAACGACTCGTCCCTTTGCATCTCGAGGCATCATAAAAACAAGCACCCACAAAACAGCCAGTCTTCTCCCTGCAAGACGGCTGCTGACCGAGCTCCCTGCTAACGGGCGGCCTTTGCAGCAGCAAAGTGCACACTGGGTTGTATGCAACCCCATTGCCTGGGGG